AGCTGAAGCCGGAGCCGACGACGAGGCGTATGCACACGGCAGCCGTCATTTGCTTGATCGTGTGCTTTGCGGTCTACATCTTGACATCTCTGTTCGGCATGCTGGCGTTCGGCATCGGGGATCACCAAAAACATTCCTTGGTTAACTCCTTAAAGCCGGTGGGGAAGAACCCCTTGGTGGTGCTTACCATGTTGGGCCTGATGCCAGCGTCCTCACATGCTTCCAGTTCCATGTCTACCCGGTGCGTCAGTTCGCGGCGTATCTCGTGCGACGCATCCGCAAGCGTGAGGCCAATACTGAGAAGGGGGACAAGGTCATTTGGGGCAGAACGGTGACTAGGTGGTGCGATATCTTCTGTGCCCTCTTCAGCGTAGCTGGGATCATCTTCATTGCAGTGGTCGTCAAAGACCTGAGGGCGGTGCTGGGTTTTGTAGGGTCCTTTGCAGCGGCCTACATTGGCTTCATCGTGCCACCCGTTTGGCTCCTCCAAGTCCGACGCCGCTCTCCAAGCTTCCGCTGGTGCAAGGCTGAGACCCAGCTTTGCTTGCTGGTGCTCTCCTTGGGCATCTTCTTCTTTGCATTCGGTACCTATACAGCAGTGTCGTCAGCCTAAGGTCGGACGATGCCAGTTTTGTTTGTGGGAGCCAATGCCGTCCGGTGTGCTGGGCTTCGTAGCAACTTGCGACCCTTCGCTGCATCGGGCGTGGCCCCGAAAGATAAAGGCGCTGCTGTACAGATGCAGCCCGGGCCGGACGCAGTCAGAGTCCGAGTCGCGGCATCTCCAGGCGCGAAGCCAAGCGAGCTTTAGCAGTCGCTTGGACCTTTGCCGAGGGGCTTGGGTGCATTGTCTAGCTGCCGTTGAAATGGCAGGAATTCAGATTCAGACCGCTCATGGAGCAGGGAGAAGTTCTTGAAAACTCCTCTGGGACAGGCTGCCGGTCAGTATCGACACTGCTGAGATTGTAGGATTCACGGACAGGTACGACAAGCACAACCAGAATCTAAAGATGGCTAGCCAACGCCAGCTCGCAAGGAGTCAAGACCGACAGTAAACATGGTAGCGCCAAGGTGCCAGCAGCGGTCCGTTGTATATATGGTTGTTATTATTTCTATTATTACAAAAATGTTATTATTGTTGTCGTTATTATATATATATATATATATATGTAATATCCGTGGTGTCTTTGAACGTAAGTCCTCTTCGGCTTCCATCGAGGCTATTAAGGGTCGGACTGTGGCTGAAGGGCTGCCTTGCATTGCTGCGGATGACCCCAGGGTAAGAGGGTATGAGATGGAGTCGGCCACCCCTTCTTCGGTTGCTTGCTGCTCTCCCTTCTGCTCTTCCAGTCCCAAGTCTATGGGTTGATTTCTGGTTCCGAGTAGGGCCCCCAACTGATCATGGAGAGCTGCTAAACGAGAACTGCAGTCGGCAAGGTCCTGGGACGTCAGAGAGTCTAAAATTTGCGAAAGCCTTTGGTTACTAGCCCGTGTATTCTCTTCTTACAGGGGCTTTGGTGTTGGGAGCTGTGCCGCTGCATATTACAATCCTGGTCAGCAGACAGGAATTCCCTGTGCAGGTGTCTACACTCACTGGTAGAAAACTTATTATATAGTAGCCCTGATACCAGAATATACCAGAATCATTCCCTAATCAGCTCTTCTCCTAAAGCCCCGAACCCCGGATCCTAAAAGCTGCCAGTTAACACCCTAAACTTTGCCATAACAGCCCCCCAAGCCCTTAACCTTACAGCAACTCGGGACGCTGTGCCCGGAGCAGACCAAAAGCCAACATTTACGTCCCGAAACCCTGCACACCTACTTGGAGGATCATGGGAATCAGTAAGGTTATGAACAAGGTAACTATAGTCATGTATACGTACAAATAACCCCGATTAAGATAAATCGAAACTTACTTGCTAAATTCCCTGATCCTCCAAGCGTAAGCCGTTTAAATCGTGTAAACCCTGAAGCCCAGAAGTTTCTGCCTCAGGCCGAGCGAGCTGCTTTGCGTCGGGGCCTCCATGAAGTTTGCGGGTTTGGGGGTTAGGATTTCGATGCCGAGGCAGTGGGCGAAGACAGGGCATTAAAGGATTTAAGTATTTTGATAGGAGTACTGTACAGATTCTGTTTTAGGGTTACTTTCGCGGGGAAGGGTATAATAACCCGACGTGTTGCAAATATGATGATTCCCGAATACAGATCTAGTAGAAAACCCAAATAAACCACATTTTGGACATCTCAGTTCGCTACAGTGCTGGAGCTGGAGTCGTTAGTTGAGCGATATTCAGTATCCGGAGTTGATCACTGCCAACTCAACTCACCTCCCAAGCTCTAAGCTTGGTGTTCCTTCCTTACTGTACCCTAGACCCGAAACCCTGCACCCTAGCAGACCCTAAACCCGAAACCCTAATCTTACCATACTTCATGTCCAGGCTATTAGAAGCTCCATCTTCTGAGGTTAGAGCACGAAGCTCATTATTTAAAACCCAAAACCTTAGGCAAGGATTCCGAGGTTTAGGGGTTTTAGTGTTTTAGGGCCCGCCAAAGGCCCTTCCAACAAGAAGAAGAGCATCTGAAACCTGAACTTAACTAGGACCTACAGTAGGCCCATATTCCCTTTTTTTAGGGGTTCAGGTTGCCTTACTTAAACCAAAAAGGGGCGCCGTTCTTATTCCTAAGTTACTCTTGGGTCTAGTTACGAACCGTACCATCCTCCAACCCCCCCTGCGCCCCTGAACTGCAACCGTAACCCCAAAACCCCTAGCCTTAAAATGGGAGTTTCGAAACTTAGGGGTCCTTATAATACAGATCCTACTATTTAGGGTATCACATCAAGGTCCCCTATGTTTGGAAACTCCTAAATCTTGATAATTATAGTACACTGGGCCCCAAAACCCGATTCTAATTGTTAAGACCCCATAGTAACCCCAACGCCCCAAGCCGTAAAATCTGTGACACCTTGCAGGTGCTAAGCTGAAGATCCTTCCGAGTTCCAAAGGGGTCGGAGGCTACCGGCTGCACCTACAGGGAACTCCAGAAAGTTAGAATATGGTTTCATGGTAGGATACCCTATAATTTACCATCGAAGGGTTAGGATAATCATATTCCAACTTTCTGGCTTCTACTGTAAGAGTTACGACGGGCTCTAGGTTCCTGAGAAGTATATACGGGTTTTGAGGATTCAGGGTTTCTGGCTTCAGGGTGTAGGTAGCAGTGGTTCAGACAACAGGTTTCTGGCTTTTGTCCGGCTTCGGGTACGGACGTGAAAGCTTGTGCAGGGCCTATGCAGGAAATGTCTCCCCCAATCCTGGGGGCAAAGATTCTACACACATAGCAACAAGAGGCGACATGCTAACCTTCTTGACACAGAAGCCCAACCTCAGCACTTGGCCTTGGTTTGCCAACGCCTCACTGCAATCCGATGTCCGATGCGCGGATTGATAGAACCCTGAACCCCTGAATTTCACATTCGTGACTGCAGCGAAAAAGGAGCCCTCAAACAGAAAACCGAACCCTCAACCTACAACTCCCGGAACCCCTACACCCCTCAACCGTTAAACCCGCTACATAAATCAAGAATCCCTCAAACCACGGAACACCTAAACACCCAAAAGCCCTAAACCCGAACCCTGGCTCCCAACCCTAAAACCCTAAACCCGTATTGAGAAAGAGCTCCTGCATAAAAAAAGACAATCTTATAGATAAAGGCACCCTATAGAACCCCCTCATAGATCCCTTTAAAGGGACCCTATAGAAGCCCCTCATAGATCCCTTTAAAGGGACCCTATAGAAGCCCCCAAGAGGCGGCGCACCAGCCCGACCTGAGATTCGGCCCGCGTCACCGGGGTCCCGGTCGCTCAGCCCCTGGAGTCGGAGAGGAGGCGAAGGGGGTCCTGGTTTATGCAGGGTTCCTTTAAAGGAGCCCTAGGGTTCCTTTAAAGGAACCCTCGGGTTCCTTTTAAGGGATCTATGCAGGGTTTAGGGGTTTAGGGCGTTTAGGGTTGAGGAGTTTTTGCTGGCACACAATCCAAGCCCATGCTGAAAAGGGTTTAGGGTTCCCGCTCAGGGGTCCCAGAAGGGATCTTAAGAGGGTTCTTGAATTAAGATCCCTTTTCAGGGTTCCTAGAAGGGGATCTTTAGAGGGGTTCTCAAAATTAGGATGCCCTTTCAGGGCTCCTACAAGGGATCTTCAGAGGGGTTCTTGAATTAAGGGTCCCAGAAGGGGATCTTTAGAGGGGTTCTTGAAGTGAGATCCCCTTTCAGGGTTCTTAGAAGGGGAGGATCTTGAGGTAGTTTCTTGCATTAAGATCCCCTTTAAGGCTCCCTAGCCGGGGATCTCTAGAGGGTTTCTTGAATGAATAAAATAAGATCCTGTCAGGGGTCAAGGCTTACTGGTACCCGGCAGATCGGCTTCAATGCAAAACCCAGAGTGAAGGAAACCATGACGTTTCCCTTTTGACCAGGCAAGCCAACAGTGCAACGACTTCAATCTCCGAGGTGGCTCGGAGTGTGGGGTTGTCGGTTGAGGAGGTTTATGATTTCGATTGCAAGGCCGGCTTGAGATTTGATGTTCAGGGTTGTGGGCCATGCAGAGTCTGTCATAAAGACCTTGAGGGGGGTAGGGGGCTTTAATACTGTCCCTATAATAAGGACTTGATAAGGCCTATTTAAGGAAGTGTAGTCCCGGCAAAGCGTAAAGCGTAGCAGGATGCTTCTGAGTATAATGATTAAGATTAAGACATATGCTCGTAGATGCAGGCTGTTGCGCCAGCACTTGCTTCAGCTCATAAGCCTCAGCCACGATGCCTTGCCCGGTCCGAGACCCATGCCGTTCTTCCTGAAGCCCTAAATCTCAAGCCCTCAGCCCGAACCCCGAAACCCACACGCAGGACCTGCATCTTGTGGTTTTGCGCCTCCGCTTCGTACTGTCATGGCGACGGCTCAAGCAACCAGAAGTCATCGATCACCGCCATCTTCCCTGTGCTTTCCCTCGCGACGGCATGTCCCCAGCTGCGATTCAGGTCGAAGACCGGGTGCAGGAAGTAAAGGAGAGAAGTCCGGAGGTCGAAAGCGATGTGTCGACGTATGTCACGAGCGACGACTTCTCTACTGCCTCGGAGAAGCAGTCTGGTGTTCGACGCCCTTCCATGTTCAGCCACGGAGCTGTGCTGCCCGCAGCCATGTGCCTTAGCAAGGCTGCCATAGGCGCAGGAGTTTTGATCATGCCATCACACGCAGCGGAAGCGGGCATCGTCTTCCAAACCGTCGCGTTACTCGGAGGAGCTGTTCTTACGCTGGCGAGCATTCGTTTCATCGCCACGGCCTGCATCGCGACAGGCTGCTTCAGCTACGAGGACTTGTGCGATGAGTTGCTCCATCCTGCGATGGCCATCTTCACTGGTTTCATGAACACTGTGAACTGCATTGGTTCTGGGGTTGGCTACCTCATCCTTTGCGGCCAACTCTTTGGCGTGGTTACTGGTGCATCAGATCCTCACTGCAAGTTGTTTGTGGTTCTCACGGGCGTCTTCGTTTGTGCTCCACTGGCCACGGCCAGGCACGTCAGCTGCATGCGGCACCTGGCTGCGGGGAGCATCGCTGGTCTTCTCATCTTGGTCGCTTGCGTCATGTGGTATTATGCCGAACACGGAGCAGATGAGACAATTGTCACCCCAGGCGATCTGCTTTCATCCTCCACGGCCACGACCTTCACTTACATGGCAAGCATTAACAATGTCGTCTTTGCCTACAACAATCAGTTCATCGTGCCGAAACTTACCGGGGAGCTGAAGCCGGAGCCGACGACGAGGCGTATGCACACGGCAGCCGTCATTTGCTTGATCGTGTGCTTTGCGGTCTACATCTTGACATCTCTGTTCGGCATGCTGGCGTTCGGCATCGGGGATCACCAAAAACATTCCTTGGTTAACTCCTTAAAGCCGGTGGGGAAGAACCCCTTGGTGGTGCTTACCATGTTGGGCCTGATGCTCAGCGTCCTCACATGCTTCCAGTTCCATGTCTACCCGGTGCGTCAGTTCGCGGCGTATCTCGTGCGACGCATCCGCAAGCGTGAGGCCAATACTGAGAAGGGGGACAAGGTCATTTGGGGCAGAACGGTGACTAGGTGGTGCGATATCTTCTGTGCCCTCTTCAGCGTAGCTGGGATCATCTTCATTGCAGTGGTCGTCAAAGACCTGAGGGCGGTGCTGGGTTTTGTAGGGTCCTTTGCAGCGGCCTACATTGGCTTCATCGTGCCACCCGTTTGGCTCCTCCAAGTCCGACGCCGCTCTCCAAGCTTCCGCTGGTGCAAGGCTGAGACCCAGCTTTGCTTGCTGGTGCTCTCCTTGGGCATCTTCTTCTTTGCATTCGGTACCTATACAGCAATGTCGTCAGCCTAAGGTCGGACGATGCCAGTTTTGTTTGTGGGAGCCAATGCCGTCCGGTGTGCTGGGCTTCGTAGCAACTTGCGACCCTTCGCTGCATCGGGCGTGGCCCCGAAAGACAAAGGCGCTGCTGTACAGATGCAGCCCGGGCCGGACGCAGTCAGAGTCCGAGTCTCGGCATCTCCAGGCGCGAAGCCAAGCGAGCTTCAGCAGTCGCTTGGACCTTTGCCGAGGGGCTTGGGTGCATTGTCTAGCTGCCGTTGAAATGGCAGGAATGCAGACTCAGACCGCTCATGGAGCAGGGAGAAGTTCTTGAAAACTCCTCTGGGACAGGCTATACAGTAGATATGAGAATTTCTGTCATTGTGACAGCTCAGATCAAGTTCCTGAACAAAATCTCAGCAATGTCATTAGCGTCCAGGGCAGCGCTCCGACGCAGCGGCAGCGGTGCCTCTGCGACCATACCGGCCGGCGGCTCCAGCTTTTCCACCTCGGTGCCCTCATAGACCTCGTGGTAGGGTGGGCAACCTTTGACCTTTTTGGGGAAGTATAATCCTTATACAATCCCGATATACTCGTATACTCCCAAAGGTCATTCTTTAGTTCCCCAGGATACTGGACAAGGAGGTAGACGCGTATTCATGGAATGATTTAATCCATACAGATGATGATGGTGGTGGCGGTGCTGGTGTGGATGGACATACATATGGAGAAGAGGAGACAGCCTCCTCTACTATGTGTATATATATATATATAATACATATGCACACTACTGTGTAGATGTGAACATGGTGATGACGATGATGCTGATAGTGAAGATGACGGCGACGACGATGATGATTGTGATGATGTTGATGATGATGATGGTGCCGGCCGGTGATGGCAGGTGGCGATGGCGATGGCGATCTTGATGACGATCATCATGATGTTGAGGGCAACTGCAAAAACGAATGATACTGACGGTGATGGCTGGACGCGATGCTGGCAGGGACCGTTCTCAGGTTTCATATTTTTTCTGTGAGGGTGTTCACTAGGGTGTCTGGTTGTCATGCTGAAGACGATGTTGGCGATGACTGTATGGTTACAACGATATTTAGCGATGTCGCTGAGAATGATGATGCGGTGACGGTTATGAGAATCACCGTGGTGCTAGCGACGACAGGATGATTGCCGTCCAGATCTTTCATGAAGCTGCTCATCTCTGACATGACGTTTTTCCCTGGGAAGCGGTCCGTAAGCCAGCTTTCGCGAGGCGAGACGACTCGTTGAGGTTTGTGCTGGCTTAATCTCGACCGGGAAGAGCTCGTTTCTAGGGAGATAACTTTCGGTAATTGTAAGGAAGAAGCCACAAAAGCTTACTTGACTGACTTCTCAACCGACTTGGCTGTTCTGCACCGGAAAGTCCATGAACAAGCAAGTTGAGACTAGTTAGTAACCAGTCACGCCGTTTGTAACAGCCTACCTTCCCCCCCCTGCATGCACGGCCCGAGCAAGCTGTGTGGTCGCAGTCATCCTCTTGCTAATTTGATGAGCAGCTGAGCTGCCGCCCTAAACCTTAAAATGCACATTCCAAAAAGAGTGGGAGAGACAGCGCGAGAGAGAGAGAGAGAGAGAGAGAGAGAGAGAGAGAGAGAGAGAGAGAGAGAGAGAGAGAGAGAGAGAGAGAGAGAGAGAGAGAGAGAGAGAGAGAGAGAGAGAGAGAGAGAGAGAGAGAGAGGCGAGGGGGAGAGGGCGAGGGGGAGAGGGAGAGGAGAGGGAGAGGGAGGGAGAGGGAGAGGGAGAGGGGGGGGGGGGGGAGAGGGAGAGGGGGGAGGGGGAGGGGGAGGGGGAGGGGGAGGGGGAGGGGGAGGGGGAGGGGGGGGGGAGGGGGAGGGGGAGGGGGAGGGGGGGGGGAGGGGAGGAGGGAGAGGGAGAGAGGGAGAGGGAGAGGGAGAGGGAACAAGAGACAGAGAGAGAGAAAAAGGGAGAGAGGGAAGAAAGTGCAACCTGCTGCGCCGCGCCAAGGTGTCACAGCCGCCAGGACCTCAGTTGTTCTGTCGTGCTGACCGAGTCCAGTTTTTTGTGTGGAGAGTGGTTCAGAGAGCCTGTGCATCCCGCTGAGCTGGCAGAGCTTGTTGTGCACTTTTCCAGTGGAAACTCTAGTTAGAGCAAATCCTAACGCAGAAGCATAAGCTCTCAAGCTTGCACGTGTTCACAACTTGCAACCCAATCTTGCGCTGCATGCTGCGGTGGGAGATCTTGTCTTCGTGCCCAAAGTCCAAAGCGCTACGGTCACTATGGCTCAAGTTATTCAGGACGTTGAAGGCTTCTCCTCTTCCGGCCCCAGCCTTCTTGAGCGCTTGCGCCATGGCTGCCACTAGCGCTGCACTCCGATCGTTTGACTCCGTGCCCAGCCTTGGCAAGGCTTTCGTTTTCCTGGCCCGGAGCAAGCTTTGTTCAACGCTCATGCAGAAGGGCAGTGAGCACCCGCGGATGTTCAAGATGCACCTTGGGCCCCAGACCGCCTGTGTGGTGACACATCCGGAGCTAGCGAGATCCGTGCTGACGCGTCCCAAGGACTTCATCAAGATGGAGGTCCCGCGGAACACCGCCAGTGCGCTCGACAATCTGCTCCAGCGCAGCAAGGACGGCACCGCAAGCGTTCTCATGACGAACGGGCAGGATTGGGCCACACAGAGAAAACCTGTCGATCCGGCCTTCGAGAAGCAGGCCTTGCGCAACCTCCTGCCCAAGTTCAACGATTGCTCCGACAGGCTTCTGGAGACGTGGAGGGGTGCAGACGAGGTGGATGCCAAGCAGGACATGTCCCGTTTCGCTTTGGACGTGCTTGGATCGGCGATGCTGGGCCAGACCTTCGGTGCCATTGATGGCACCTTTACTGACAGCTACGAGCACTACAAGTACATCATGCTTGAGCAGACCAACCCCGTGTACATGTCTTTCCCTTTCCTGGAGCGCCTCCCAACCTCCCGGAATCGTCGCATGAGGGAGGCGGTGCATCACATGCATGGCGTCCTGCAAGGTGCGATAGATGCTCGCGTGCAGCTGCGTAAGGACCAGCAGGCAGCGGGCACTCTTTCGGACGAGCCTCAGGACATGCTTGACATGTTGCTCGGACCGGGTGTGGATGTGCCGGCAGATGGAGTGCTGCCGACGGAGGGAGCCTTGCTGCCGATGCTTTGGATCTTCTTCATTGCCGGGCACGATACCACTGCGATCTCTTTGGCTTGGATACTGTACTACCTCGCAAAGTATCCCGAGGTCCAGAGGAAAGCTCGCGAAGAGGCTCAGCAGCTTCTGGCCGGCCGGAAAGATCCGACTCCTGAGGATCTGGACAACGTGCCGTACCTCTCTGCCGTCATCAACGAAGGCCAGGGCTTTGAAGTACCATACTTTAGTATTTTTTTCTTAAAGGAACCCTTATGAAATAAGAGTTTATACTTTTTCCTCCCTGGTTACTCAAAAGCCCAGAGGCCTTCGTGTGCGCCCGCCCATCTTCAATCTCTACACTCGTCAGGCGGCCCATGACACTGAGCTCGACGGCGTTCTCGTCCCGAAGGGAACGGGAATTTCGTTGCACATCGGAGCCATCAACAAGCATCCAGAGGTTTGGGGGGAAGCTGAGGACTTCAACCCGGAGCGATTCCTGAAGGAAAAGCAGCCCCGGGTGTTCCACAACCTCCCTTTCTCGGCAGGACCTCGTCGCTGCCTTGGTGACAAGTTCTCCTTGATGGAGCAGAAATCTCTGTTGCTGAAGCTCCTCACACAGTACGAGGTCTTGCCACACGAGAGCACCCTCGACGGCGACAAGAACTTTACCTCCACCATGACAGGTTTCATATTCCTGCAACCTGACAACATCAAGGTCCGCCTGCAGGCTGTGCAGTAAGGCGTTGCTGGTCGGCGACCATGGTCTCGGGTGAGGTCACCAAATCCCTGGATCGACCACCATGTGAGAAATCTTCAGCGGTTAGAGCTTTGAGGGCTCTTTTTCCACATCATCGCACACCAACGGGTGCACGACACGATGCCAGTGTTTAAACGTGACTTGCGCCTTTACCCCCTTTCGGCCCCCAACCCCGGCGGTCGCTCAGCCCAACCATCTTACCAATGCCAAAAGCCCCAAAACCCTTTAACCTGAACCCTACTACAGAGGTCTGCAGACCTGGTAGTTGTATCCCCTGAGAGTCCAAGCAATAATGTGCTAAAGTATGCCACCCAGTCTTTCAATATTGTATCTAATTATTTTTATTTCTATTATCTATCAATCCACAGCCCCATATCCCTAAAGCCGAAATCCTCCTTTACCTGCCTGCGTGTCGAATCGATAGCAGGCAGAGAGTACCTTTACAGCTTGTGCGGCTTGCGCGCAGGAGAAAAGGCACACATGCATGTGTACATGAAGTGGCTGCACGCCCCAAACCGTATATGGTGAATTCCAATAAAGCCCCGCAGCACCAAGAAGCATACAGAAGATTGTCATCAGACCAGGGATGGGAGTGGACCATCCTCGACAGCGGCGACAGCAACACCCCCAGAGCGGAAAGAGGCTTAAGGTCCATTTAGGGTTTATAGGACTTCGGGTCGGTGCCAAGACACCTTGGCAACTGTGACAGAGCTTCTCGAAAGTTTCTAGATGCCGTTTACTTGAACTCCTACTGATATTTAGGGCTTCGGTTTCAGGTTTAGGAGTTTCGGGAGTTTCGGGTTTAGAATGCTGAGTGCGCAGTCTCCTGCCGTAGTCGAACCTCTACTGGCCCCATGCAGTCTTCAGTCATTCAGCTTCCCGCAGTGGAGATTTCCAAGGGATCGCTATCACCATGGTCATACTGATGAGGAAGTTGACGACGCACTACTTCTCCAAAAGCCAAAACCCTAGAAGCCCTGCGCCCTAAAATGAAAAACCAAGAGTCCTAAACCCATCCAAACCCTACAGAAGTCTAAGCAGAAGCCCTAGACCAGACTGGTCTCTGCAAATCCTTGGGTCCATCTTCCCATATAGTACATAAACTTACGTTGGCCTTTAAGGCATTCCCATAGGCCCACCTTTTTATATAACCACATAGATACATGGCCCCCGTAAAACGCGATAGACGGAAGCCTTGGGGTACATGGACCCTGCAATTCACTGCCATCCCGAGGCGCCGCCGAGTGTTCTCGTGCTCAACTCAGATCTGCGGGCTCGGCCGGGTTTGGTCTTTACGAGTCGTTATGCGGGTTACTTAGGATTACCAAATGGGTGTTGTTCATTTGGGTGTCTTTTGGAGAGCTCCTGCCTAATGTATGTAGTCATGTGCTCTGCAGATCATTCCGAGAGGCTGTCGGAAATTATAGGTTCACAGAGGCCGAAAATACATTTAGGGCTGCAGTGGTTTAGGCTCAAGATGGCCCAAGTGTCAGAGTCAGACACTTGAGGGGGTCCCGCCCCGGAGAAGCGCGGACTTAGAGTGTAGGGTTGTTTAGGGTGTAGTGAAGGGGCAAAAATACTGTTGTAGCCCAAGACGACCATAGTTACTGCACATGAACTGGAGGCCCTGATAGGGTCATGATATGGTTGTCCTATACAGATCCACATCAGTTAGAACTCGCAAAATCCGACTCGCCCACAAGCTGTTCAAGTACGTGCCCACATTTGGGGAAGGTAGGATAGAAACCCTAAACTAAACATAACCCGAAACCCCAAAACTTCCCACTAATTGCCCTCAGCTCCCCCTCCCAACCTCAAACCCCTACAGAAACCAGCCCACAAAGCCGAAACCCCGAGCTGGCGCAACTCTGAGGAGCGTGAGCTGGGTAACCTCCGTAAGGTGGATCGGGAGGCCCGGATTCCTTCAGTTTCCTTGGAATGTCCTGCGGTCACGATGAGAGTACAGGAATTTCAAACAGTCTTTAACGTTCTTTATGTCCCGTTGTTTGCAAGGCACCACAAGCAGAACTTCTGCTTTCTAAAGGGCTTTAAGGTATTAGGGTTCATATTTCATGTTCTACTTTTAGCATGTTCTAGTAGATCACACCCCCCCAAAAACTTTCTAAGTCGTGGTTCAGGAGACTCTGACATGCGGCCACCCTTGCTTCCCTGACGGGGGTTTGGGGTTTCAGGGTTTAGAGTTTAGCGTTTAGGGTGGTTTCAGTAGCGCAAGGGTTTAGGGTTTCCGTTGATTTTGGCGCAAGCTTGGTGCCAACGCACCTCTGAAGTAAAATGCATGGATATGACATGGGCCTGTGCAAACCCGACCCATTTTCCGAAAGTTAGGGGTACATTATTTTGGGGTCCTTAGAATAAGGATCCTACAGTTTAGGATACTCTATTGGGGTACCCTAGTTTCGGAAACTCCCAGCTGAACTTTGAACAGGACTTACGGTCGGAGAATGCCCGGCTACAGAACCAGCTCGCCAAGGCCATGCTAAGACTGGTTTAGGGTTTGGGAGTTTCGGGTTTAGGGTTTACCAGGCAAACCAATGCAGATCCTAGAAATGAAGGTCCGCATAGGAAGTAGCCTTGCGCATGGGAGCCTATCTTAGTAGTAGAGTAAGCAACCAATATTTTTTTTTGTTTTTTTTTTTTTTTTTTGGGGGGGGGGTGGTATTACAATCACCGTATACATAATGCCGAAGTTTAACCTCAAGCCGTATATAAGTTTCCACACGAAGTGGGACTGAGGGCTCGGGTCGTTTCGGGTTTTCGGGTTTAGAGAACTTTGGAACCCGGCGTTAGTATGAGTAGAAGTATATACTGGGCTACAAAATTTGGCTTTAGCCTGCAGGTTGTGGATATTCTTCAGGCAAGATTGAACTGGTCCAAGCCCAGACCCGGGGAAGAAAGAAGAAGAACATTTCTGGATTGCTCGCACCCTCTTGGGTCTAGTATCATTGATAGGGTAGTAAGGATCTCAATTGGGTCTAACACATCCTTGCCATTTAGTCTTTTCGGCTCTCCCTATGCATTGAAATCCTATTGAGTAGTCTGCTGCTTCCAGGCGCGGAATAACGTTTCCGTGCTGCGGAAACAGCTGGAGGAGTCCAACGTGCGGGGCTTGGTTGCTCCTTTGCACGGCGAACAAACTTTGAGGTATTTTTGGACCTATGGGTGGCCCTAACAATGTTTCAACCCTTGTGAACTTCAGTCAGTGGGTCCAGGAGCTTTCGAGGCCGTTTGCGCTGACAGTGCCGACGGCTCCAGAGGCCCCATAGTAGTTCCTTATTGGGGTTCATATGTACGATCCTATACGGTATCTCCCAACAAGGAACTACTATGGGGCCTTTAGGTAAAGATGTGGACAACACAACCCGAAGTTGATTAAAGACCCCCAAGACCCTTATTCAAACCTCAAGACCTTCGCCCACAGCCAAATAATTAGCCCTCAATCCCAAACTCTACACCCTCGCCTTGCTTCCGCGTGTTCCCTGCAGTGCGACTTGGTCGCTTGACCCAGGCCGCTCGCGACAGGGAGAGGCACCTGATTTTCGGGCCCTGGGTCCTTCGTGCAGCTGTAGGGTTTGAGCTTGTAGGCTTCCGGGATATTGGGCTTTGTGGTTTGAGGGCTTAGGGGTTACAGAACTTAGGATTAGCTGCCGATTCCCAGCTGATGATGGCATAGAGCCTGGGCTCAAAAAGGATCAGGTTTGGGCCGGGTGTAGGCGCAAGTAGATGGGGAAGAAGTGTCCAGATGGCTGTGCAGGTGCGAAGAAGAGTATCGCAACCCTTGGACTGAAATCACCTGCACTTCCTTGCTGCAGACTAGGAGGTTTTAGAAAGTGTGGGACCGACCTATATACACCTTCAAGTGTCCTATCCTTGCCACGGCCCTGCATGTGTTCTGAGCATGCAATGTATCGTGGTTGACTGTAAGTCAATCTTGCCCTGAACAACTTGTTCAGCACAGCGATGGTTGATAAGCCGCGGGTCGCGCCCATTTGCAAAGACTCAAAGCATCCTCGACTTGTATGATAACAGTCCCCAACCCTAAACGCTAAACCCCTAAACCCATAAGTGACAGTGGTACCAAAATCTTCAGGTGACCCAAGCCTCAAGCCCAAAAAGCCAAAGACTTTGTAGGATCCCAAGGTTTGAGCCTTTTAGGGGTTTAGGGTTTAGAGGGTTTAGAGCATAGGCATTCAAGGGCCGCGAGCAACCTTCAGCTAGGGCCACTGGTAGGTTATAACCCCTCTATACTGTAGTGCCTGTAGTGTTTTAAAGGGTAAAATCGGGTGGAACCCCTAAGCGAGCAGGTTCTGGGACCCCAGATAGGTTAGGGTCTAGATTTTCAGGGTTTGTTTGCGAATACAACAGCTTCGGAATCTTTGATGTCGATTGCACGGGAAAGGCTCCGCGCCGAGAGTCTCGCTCTCAGCGGCTCCGGAGATCATACCCTAAACCGTTTAGGGTTTAGGATTTAGGGTTTTAGGGTTTAGGCTTACTACATCCTGAAATCTGGACCCTGATGTTTATTTCGGGCCTCTCAGCCCTAAAGCCCTTCCAGACGGCGCATGAACAGCTGCCCCAGAGCATAGTATGTGGGCCTTTATAATTACCTGTACTATTTTGGGTGCTCCTATATTTTAAGTATAGTATACTATACCCCCAAACCCTATCAATATATACATATATATTATTGTATTTTCTAGTAAGACCCCTGCATTAGATATCCCGCTCATGTTAGGATATAGGCATGAGAGGAATATATGTAGGACCCTCAGATGTACAGGGAAGCATGAAGATTGAAAAACAGAGCCCTCAATGTTCAGGGATAGCACTTTACGGCTTCATGGGCGGTTCTGAGTTTTGAAGAATCGTGTTCTGGGCTAGCGTGCGGTCCAAAACTGAGGAGGCGATCCGGCATGCGTCTCCATGTTAGACTGAGGAAATTGCTGCATCCAACCCTGCTGCTT